TCTCTCTCTCTCTCTCTCTCTCTCCTCTCTCTCTCTCTCTCTCTCTCTCTTCTCTCTCTCTCTCTCTCTCTCTCTCTCTCTCTCTCTCTCTCTCTCTCTCTCTCCTCTCTCTCTCTCTCTCTCTCTCTCTCTCTCTCTCTCTCTCTTCTCTCTTCTCTCTCTCTCTCTCTCCTCTCTCTCTCTCTCTCTCCTCTCTCTCTCTCTCTCTCTCTCTCTCTCTCTCTCTCTCTCTCTGTTCTCTCTCTCTCTCTCTGTCTCTCTCTCTCTCTCTCTCTCTCTGTCTCTCTCTCTCTTTGTCTTTCTGAAGAGGGAGCAGGGAGTGAAAGAAGGCATGGAAGAGGAGGAAAGCAGGGAGAAGGAGGGAGGAGGGGGGAGGAGGGAGATTGGAATTGAATGTGATTGCAATGCGATGCAATGCGATTCCAACGCAATGCGACCGCAATGCAACTCAATGCGATTGAAACGCAATGTGATTGCAATGCTGCCTCCCCCATCCCCCGCCCAACCATCCTCCTCCCCCCCTCCCTCCGCTCCATCCTTCCTCCCCATCCTCCCTCCTTCCGCCCCTCCTACCTCCCTCCCTCCTCCTTCCATCCCACCTCCCACCGAAATGCATTGCAATCGCATTGCATTGCATAAAATCGCATTGCCTTGAAATCGCATTGCATTGCATTGCACACAATCGCATTGCGGCGCGCGCAGGGCGCCGGGAGCTCTCAGGGCCCCAGCAATTCCAGCGTTTGGAGTCTGCGCCGGTAGACACGTAGGTCCGACGTGCACCAGCGCGAGGTTGCAAGCTCAGTCCGCGTTCAGCACCAGATCCCATCCAGCACCCAGCTGGACGCATAGAGGAGCACCGTCACGGCCAGAGCGGTACACGCGATCAGCTTGCATTGCATTGCAATCGCATTGCATTGCATTGCATTGCATCTCATTGCGTCCGGTTGAGTTGCAGGTTGTTTGGGTTGTTTTTTGGGTAGCGGCACAGGTTTCGTGGACCAACATGAAGGAAACCTGTAACTGTCATTGAAAAACACTCTAGGCGAGCCAGGGCCAGGAGGCCGGCCAGGAGTGCGGGGTTCGAAAATATTTGATGTGTTGTTTTGTTGGTAATCCTCTGGGTCGATGAGGATGCTTTGGCGCCCGGGGCCAGGAGGCTTCGGCGGCCTTAGCGACGCGCAAAAGGAGAGAGCCGCGCGACGCTCAGCGTTTCTTCTCCTTAGGGCGCAGCGGAGCTGAAGAGGGGTCGCCCGCTGCCCAAAAAAAAAATCATTCGTTCATCAATGCATTCATTCATTCCCCCATTCATTCATTAATTTATTCATGTATTCATTCATGTGTTCATTCATCTCATCATCATTTATCTTATTGGCGGCCCCCTCGGCCGCGGCCCTCTCGCGCCTGCCTTCTTAGCTCCCTCTTCAAACTCACGCGCGCGGCGATCCTCGCCCTCCTTTCCCTCACGGGCGGCCTCGGGAACGCGGCGATTCTCGTCCTGCCTTGCCGTCTCGGCGGCTTCCTCGGCCGCGACCCTCTGGCGCCCCCCCTCACCCCGCCCCTCCTCGGCGGCCCCCTCGGCCTCGAGCCTCCGGCGATATGCTTCCACGGCGCCCTCAACAGCTTTCGCGCCCTCCTCCTCGGCCCCATTCGCCCTGGCACTGGCCTCCTCCTGCGCTCTCCTGGCCTGCTCCTCTGCCTTCTCGGCGTCATCCTCTGCTTTCGCGGCCTCCTCCTGGGCCTCCTCGGCCCTGGCTCTCCCGGCCTGCTCCTCTGCCTTCTTGGCGCCCTCCTCTGCTTTCGCGGCCTCCTGAGCCTCCTTGGCCCTGGCACTGGCCTCCCCCTGCGCTCTCCTAGCCTGCTCCTCTACCTTCTTGGCGCCCTCCTCTGATTTCGCGGCCCCCCCCTGGGCCTCCTCGGCCCTGGCACTGGCCCCCTCCTGCGCTTTCTCAGCCTGCTCATCTGCCTTCCTGGCGCCCTCCTCTGCTTTCGCGGCCTCCTCCTGGGCTTTCTTCGCCATATTCTCAGCCTTCGCGCAGTATTCCTCCTTGCTTTTCTCGGCCTCCTCGAACTCCCTCTGCGCCGCGCCCGCCTCCGCCCGCCCGGCGCCCTGCGCGACCTGCCTCTTCGCGATCTCCGAGAGGGCATGGTGCACAGACGGGGCGGGCTGCTTCTCTGCGATCCTCCTGAACTTCGCCAGGGGGCGCGCCATCGCGCGCGCCTGCTCCTCGGCAAGGACGCCGCAGCGCCCCGCCTGCGCCTCGCGCTGCTCCGCCGGCGGAGGGTCGATTCCCAGCTTCGCGGCCATCGCCTCGCTGAAAAGTGCGAAGGCGGTCTCCTTCTGGCCGTCGAACGCCGCGAAAACCTTTTGGCAATCCTCGAACGTGGTCTTCGCGATCGCGTCCTGGACGAGCGCGCCGCCCTGCGGCACCGCCCAGTGGAGGGCCGCTGCGGCCTCCAGCTTCGCGATCTCCTCCAGGCTCGTGGACCTCTCCATCCACGTCTTCAGCTCGACCCTCGGGCCCTCGGCGGGGGGCATCTTGCACCGCAAAAAATGCGGCATGGCCCAAAATAGTCCCCCCGTGGCATGGCGACCATTTTGGGCTGGACCCTGTGTTTCACCGATCGGGATGGCCCCTCCCGCCCTCCAGCCCTGAAGCGCCCGCAGACCGCAGGGAAGCCCATCGGCGTCTCCGAAGAGCTCCCGCAGAACCCGAAAATGCCCCCCGGTAGCCCCAGGGGGCTCTCACAAAGCTTCATCACATCTCCAGGAGGCCTCCGCCAAACCCCCACGAGGCCCCTTGCCCGCGACCGAAGTCCTTCGGGAACCAGTCCGCCAGCATGGCCAAGTGGCCCTCGGCCACCGCGAATGAGTTCCTCTCGGCCTCGCTCATGGGGGCGAGCCAGCCCGCGGCGAATTGCAACTCGGCCCGCAACTCCTTTTCGTCGTCGGGCACGCTCTTGAGAAGGAACTGAATATTCACTTTGTCTTTCTCGATGTCCTGCTTGAGTTTGGCGGCACGCGCTGCCCGCCTACGCCTCATGAGGGCCCTGTACAGGCTGCTGGTGAAGAAAGTGGCGCTGGTATTCCGCCCGAGGTGGGGGAACGGCAAGTCCCCCTCCTGCGACAAGTCCAAGTCCTTCAAACTAGCCAATGTCTTGCCGATCCCGAAGGACAGGGACGGCGGCTCTTTGTCAATCTCTGACCGCCGCGGCTCGCGTCACATGTGGATGGAGAGAGAAATATAGAGAAAGAAAAAAAGAGAGAGAGAGAGACACAGAAAGACAGAGAGAGAGAGAGCGAGTGATGCTCCTCCCCGCCCGCTCTTCCACTTCCTCAAGATGGCTGACCCTCAGCCTGCGGCATCACTCCTTACCCTTCCTCATTGCCACCCCTGCAGTGAGAAGCAACAACAATGATGCAATAGCAATGGGTACAACAGGAACAACAACAGAACGCCCCACAACCTATGATGATGATGTTGTAGATGATGGTATAGATGGCGGCGTCGATGTTGGAGCAGATGTTGACGAACGTGCTGATGTCCGACGTATGGGGGCTCTTATTGAACTCGGCGTGAGAGATATAAAGAGAAAGAGAGAGAGAGAAAGAGAAATAAAGAGACAGAGAGAGGGACAAAGAGAGATACAAATGGAGAGAGAGAGAGAGAGAACGAACACCCCGTAACATGATAAGAACAAGAAAAAGGGGCAAACAATAACAATAAGAGGGAACAACAACGAACAAAACAGCCGCGGCGCGAGAAAGCAGCGCACGTCACATAGTCATAAAAGTCAACCCCACCGTGGGGGGGGAGGGTGGTAGAACCTATTTCTCTTTCAGAAAAGAAAATACACGTTGTACGGCATGTGTGGTGCAATCTCTGGGGAGCTATATGAGGGGTCAGCAGATGCGGTGCGACAAATGATGTGCAGCGTGAAGCAAACTGTGTGGTGCAAAATATGTTGTGCAAACTAGGTGGTGCAATATATGTGGTATATTATATATACATAAATACATATATATATATATATATGTATATATATATGTATATATATATATACATATATATGTTCTGCACTATGTGTGGTGCAATCGATGTGGTGCAGTCTACGCGGTGCAACTTATGTTGTACCATCTGCGTGTTGCGCAGTCTTATGCCGTGCAGTCGGCGCGGTGCGGTTTGTGTGGCGCAGACGACGGGGCGGCCTCCGCCGCCCAGGCAGACGCGCGGGCACGGACTGCGGGCGGCGACGAGGGCGGCGACGGGGCGGCGACGGCGACCTAATGGCGGCCAGACCGACGCGCGGGCCCAGTTTCTCAGACAAGAACTAAATTGAAGGGGCCCTGGAGACATAAATAAACACACACACATAAAAATATTCCCCATAGTTTCCCCTATTTTCTGGGTCTTTATCTTCCCCCCCACTTCCCATATTTTCCCATATGTTCTGGAGAATCGACGATTAATTGTGTCTGTGTGTTGTTGTCCCCTCCTGACTAAGAACCCCTAAGTGCAAGCACTATGAGGAAGAAAGATGGCAGGATTCAGACACCCGTCGCTGCCGGAAATTGTTGGAGAATTCCACACCGTAACAAAACACCATACCAGGGACTGCAATGCCGCGAATCAAGGTGATTGAAAGGTCCTAATATTTCAAGATTGCCAGAACACCACTACTGGGACGTCGACACCACGAATCCGCGTGACTCTTGCGTCCTGTAAACCCAACATCGTGCCCAAAACACCGTTCCCATGACTTCAGGCAGGGGGAGGAGGAGAAGGAAGAGAGGGAGGAGGGGACGGGGAGGGAGGGAGCGGAATACGGAAAGCGGTGAAGAGGGGGGCAAGCGGAGGAGGAAAGGCCCACATCCAGATAGGAGGGGACGACGAGGAGGACGGCGACGACGAGGGGACGACGAGGAGGGAACGACGAGGGGGCGACGAGGAGGGGACGACGAGGAGGACGACAACGATGGCCGCGCCGGCGCCGACCCCAGCCTTCCAGTCCCCGATGGGCCCGGTGGGCGGCATGTTGTTGATGCAGGCCTCAGCGCCGCAGGCGAAGGAGAGGGATCGGGGGAGGAGCCAAGAGGGAGGCAGAAGGGGGGGGAGGGAGGGGGAAGGAGGATCGAGGCGGGGGATGACAGGAGGAACAGGGAGCGGAGGAGGGGACAAGAGGGAGAAGCGAGGAGGAAGGGGCGAGGAGGGAGAGAGAAGGGAAGAGCGAGGAGGTTCGGTCCCCTCGAAGGGAACGCGCGAATCACAGTTCACAACTGCCGAGCGGGTGCCACTCCCAATGGAAGCGACACCCGAGAAAGCGAAGAGGAGCAGGACGAAGAGGAGAAATTCTGGCCTCCACCCACCATCACGGAGAGAATGACAAAAAGATACTGATGAGAAAGAAAACGAGCCTTATGTCTTTAAAGGCGAATTTCCAGATCGCGGGACATTCAAAGACGACTTGTGGCGAAAGTACGGTCCCAGGGATGGGGCCAGGAGCACGGAGCCCACGTCATGAACAAAAATGAACGAAAGAGTGCGTCGACCTCGTCCTGCTCCTCCTGCCCCTCCATTTTTTAGCCACAGCGGGTTGCGCCGCAGGCGCTAACCGTCGTTGGCCAAAAGAAGAAAGAGAGCAGAGAAAGAGGCGCTGGCGTCGGTTAAAGCAAACAGACAGCGGGGCGATGCGCGTGACCCTCAGGCCAAGGGCAAAGAGGGGCGCGAACCCGAAAAGGGAGGAAAAGAGAGAAGCCAGGAGCGGGGAAGGACCGAGCGGAACTGAGGAAAGGAGAGCCAGAAAGCGAAGCGCGGGGGCCGGAAGGAGGAAGGAGGCTGAGGGAAGATAAGGCAGAACAGAAAGAGCCCCTCCGCCTCCTTCTCTTCCTCCTTCTCCACCATATATTAAAAATATGTTCTTCGTATTTTCAATATGGTGCTCATTAATACCATTACTAGTATTATTGCAATCCTTACTACTATTATTAGTATTATGCGTATTCGTGCCTATATGGTCATTGGGAAACTACGGATCATATCATTACGATTGCTAGTATTATGACAAAAATGTAGTACTATGACTGTTAATACCAAGTGTACTTGTACTGAAGAACAGTAAGCTTGTAATTCGCATTCGTGTTACTATCAATACTAGTACTACTCCTAGTATGATGTTCACTGTTACTATTAGTAGTCTGCATTAACAATATATGTGTGTCATTACCATTATGATTGACAACAATACTCCTAATAGTACTCGGTAATGTTGTGGTATATAATATTAATGCTGACCGTTTCATTGAACACACTAATGATAATGTGACTGGTAGTCTGACTACTAATAACAATGTCATTACTCTGACCAGTATTCACACTATAATTACTAGTCACAATGCTACTACCATTCATGTTGTTATAAGTACTGTTGGTATATGCGTGTTTGGTGATATCATTCCTGTCAGTATGACTAGTATGAATGATCATACGCTTACGATGAGTCTCCCTCATTGTGAGTTTATGAAGAGGTTAATATAATGTGTTCAATATGATTCCTATTCATAAGTTCTGCTCCTCCTCATCCTCCTCCGCTTCCTCCTCCTGCGCTTCCTCCATTTCCTCCTCCTCCTCGTCCTCCTCCTCCTCCTCCTCATCACCCGCCTCCTCCTCTTCCTCCTCCGCTTCCGACTGAAAGCCAGAAAACCTGATGGTCTGAAGATCCCACGGACGTGACCACCCCCCGAAGGACCAGTCGGCCCTTGGGGGCATATAACAACAAAAAAAACTAGCCTGGCGAAGGACGCAACCATATGCAGTTGCGAGTGCCGACTTTATGAGTAACATCTTCGGTGGAGCTCCCTGTGAGGCCATGAACCTTTTGAGGCGTGCGCCGAGATGAGGGTGGAACTGCATGCGAACGCTGCCACTGGGGCCTTCAGTGGAGCTCCCTATGAGGCCACGAACTCTGTGAAGGGTGCGCCGAAATGAGGGTGGAACTGCATGCGAACGCTGCCACTGGGGCCGTCGGTGGAGCTCCCTATGGGGCCACGAACCCTGTGAGGGGTGCGCCGAAATGAGGGTGGAACTGCACGCGAACGCTGCACTGGGGCCTTCGGTGGAGCTCCCTGTGGGGCCACGAACCCTGTGATGGGTGCGCCGAAATGAGGGTGGAACTGCATGCGAACGCTGCTACTGGGGCCTTCGGTGGAGCTCCCTATGGGGCCACGAACCCTGTGAGGGGTTCGCCGAAATGAGGGTGGAACTGCATGCGAACGCTGCCACAGGTGCCTTCGGTGGAGCTCCCTCTGGGGCCACGAACCCTATGAGGGGTGCGCCGAAATGAGGGTGGAACTGCATGCGAACGCTGCCACTGGGGCCTTCGGTGGAGCTCCCTCTGGGGCCACGAACCCTCTGAGGGGTGCGCCGAAATGAGGGTGGAACTGCATGCGAACGCTGCCACTGGGGCCTTCGGTGGAGCTCCCTATGGGGCCACGAACCCTGTGAAGGGTGCGCCGAAATGAGGGTGGAACTGCATGCTAACGCTGTCACCGGGGCCTTCGGTGGAGCTCCCTTTGGGGCCACGAACCCTGTGAGGGGTGCGCCGAAATGAGGATGGAACTGCATGCGAACGCTGCCACTGGGGCCTTCGGTGGAGCTCCCTATGGGGCTACGAACCCTGTGAGGGGTGCGCCGAAATGAGGGTGGAACTGCATGCGAACGCTGCCACTGGGGCCGTCGGTGGAGCTCCCTACGGGGCCACGAACCCTGTGAGGGGTGCGCCGAAATGAGGGTGGAACTGCATGCGAACGCTGCCACTGGGGCCTTCGGTGGAGCTCCCTATGGGGCCACGAACCCTGTGAGGGGTGCGCCGAGATGAGGGTGGAACTGCATGCGAACGCTGCCACTGGGGCTTTCGGTGGACGCCACGAACCCTGTGAGGGGTGCGCCGAAATGAGAATGGAACTGCATGCGAACGCTGCCACTGGGGCCTTCGGTGGAGCTCCCTGTGGGGCCACGAACCCTGTGAGGGGTGGGTGGAACTGCATGCGAACGCTGCCACTGGGGCCTTCGGTGGAGCTCCCTATGTGGCCACGAACCCTGTGAGGGGTGCGCCGAAATGAGGGTGGAACTGCATGCGAACGCTGCCACTGGGGCCTTCGGTGGAGCTCCCAATGGGGCCACGAACCCTGTGAGGGGTGCGCCGAAATGAGGGTGGAACTGCATCCGAACGCTGCCACTGGGGCCTTCGGTGGAGCTCCCTTTGGGGCCACGAACCCTATGAGGGGTGCTCCGAAATGAGGGTGGAACTGCATGCGAACGCTGTCACTGGAGCCTTCGGTGGAGCTCCCTATGGGGCCACGAACCGTGTGAGGGGTGTGCCGAAAAAGAGACATGCAAGGGGCAGAGGCAAGGAGGGTGAGGAGGAGGAGTAGCAGGAGGGAAGGCAGCAGGAGGAGAGGGAAGGAGGACACCGGCGCTGTCTCTTCAAAACGAAGACCCAACACTACAGGATGGCTGGGAAAACATTATCCTGGCGAAAGACCCAACCATAAGCAATTGTTGGTAACGCGTTGTGGGTGCCGCTTTCGGTGGGGCTCCATATGGGGCCACGAAACGCTGCCTTGGATGGGGGAACCGCATGCGGACTGCGCCACCGGGGCGGGCCTTCGGTGGAGCTCCCTATGGGGCTACGAAACGCTGCCCTGGGTGGGGGAACCGCATGCGAACTGCGCCACTGGGGCCTTCGGTGGAGCTCCCTATGGGGCCACGAAACGCTGCCCTGGGTGGGGGAACCGCATGCGAACACCGCCACTGGGGCCTTCGGTGGAGCTCCCTATGGGGCTACGAAGCGCTGCCCTGGGTGGGGGAACCGCATGCGAACACCCCCACTGGGGCCTTCGGTGGAGCTCCCTATGGGGCCACGAAACGCTGCCCTGGGTGGGGGAACCGCATGCGAACACCCCCACTGGGGCCTTCGGTGGAGCTCCCTATGGGGCCACGAAACGCTGCCCTGGGTGGGGGAACCGCATGCGAACACCCCCACTGGGGCCTTCGGTGGAGCTCCCTATGGGGCCACGAAACGCTGCCCTGGGTGGGGGAACCGCATGCGAACACCCCCACTGGGGCCTTCGGTGGAGCTCCCTATGGGGCTACGAAACGCTGCCCTGGGTGGGGGAACCGCATGCGAACACCCCCACTGGGGCCTTCGGTGGAGCTCCCTATGGGGCCACGAAACGCTGCCCTGGGTGGGGGAACCGCATGCGAACACCCCCACTGGGGCCTTCGGTGGAGCTCCCTATGGGGCTACGAAACGCTGCCCTGGGTGGGGGAACCGCATGCGAACACCCCCACTGGGGCCTTCGGTGGAGCTCCCTATGGGGCCACGAAACGCTGCCCTGGGTGGGGGAACCGCATGCGAACACCCCCACTGGGGCCTTCGGTGGAGCTCCCTATGGGGCTACGAAACGCTGCCCTGGGTGGGGGAACCGCATGCGAACACCCCCACTGGGGCCTTCGGTGGAGCTCCCTATGGGGCTACGAAACGCTGCCCTGGGTGGGGGAACCGCATGCGAACACCCCCACTGGGGCCTTCGGTGGAGCTCCCTATGGGGCCACGAAACGCTGCCCTGGGTGGGGGAACCGCATGCGAACACCCCCACTGGGGCCTTCGGTGGAGCTCCCTATGGGGCTACGAAACGCTGCCCTGGGTGGGGGAACCGCATGCGAACACCCCCACTGGGGCCTTCGGTGGAGCTCCCTATGGGGCCACGAAACGCTGCCCTGGGTGGGGGAACCGCATGCGAACACCCCCACTGGGGCCTTCGGTGGAGCTCCCTATGGGGCCACGAAACGCTGCCCTGGGTGGGGGAACCGCATGCGAACACCCCCACTGGGGCCTTCGGTGGAGCTCCCTATGGGGCCACGAAACGCTGCCCTGGGTGGGGGAACCGCATGCGAACACCCCCACTGGGGCCTTCGGTGGAGCTCCCTATGGGGCCACGAAACGCTGCCCTGGGTGGGGGAACCGCATGCGAACACCCCCACTGGGGCTTCGGTGGAGCTCCCTATGGTGGAGCTCCCCCCCACTAGCTCCCTATGGGGCCACGAAACGCTGCCCTGGGTGGGGGAACCGCATGCGAACACCCCCACTGGGGCCTTCGGTGGAGCTCCCTATGGGGGCCAGCGAACGAAACGCTGCCCTGGGTGGGGGGCCTTCGGTGGAATGGGGCCGAAACGCTGCCCTGGGTGGGGGAACCGCATGCGAACACCCCCACTGGGGCCTTCGGTGGAGCTCCCTATGGGGCCACGAAACGCTGCCCTGGGTGGGGGAACCGCATGCGAACACCCCCACTGGGGCCTTCGGTGGAGCTCCCTATGGAGCCACGAAGCGCTGTAATGGGTGGGTGAAACGCAGAGAGGAGGGAGGAGAGGGAGGAGGAGGGAGGAGGAGGGGGAGGAGGAGGAGAGGAGGAGAGGAGGAGAGGAGAGGACGCGGGCACCGTCTCTTCAAAACGAGGACCCAACACCACAGGATGGTTGGGAACAACAACAATAACAACAACAAAAGTCTTCCTCCTCACCAGGCTAAAAAAAACAATCCTCACGAATAGGAAGGAGTGGCTCAGCCCCCTGGCCGCCGTTTGCATTCGACAAGCGAGGCCAGACCACACGCTTACTCCGCACCAGGGGGCGGTGCGAACCTCCTCTTCGAAGCCTGATGCATCCTCCACAGCTATGATCCTCCAACACTACGACACCCCTCTCATTCCTGGCCAAACGTAATGGTCAGACGAACGGGCTGCGCTGTTTGCCGCGAAACGAGCCTTACTCGTCCGGTATTCGTCGGGGAGCTTGGTCGCTCCAACTGGCGGCGCAGGAGGGGGGAAGGGCGGTTGAACGAAGGGTGGATGCCGTACGCGGTCTTTGGCGGTAGGTCCGCGGTGGCGCTACTCGTGACCTTTAGGCCCGTCGCAGCGCCGCGCGACACCCGTGACCCTCAGGCCCGTCGGCGCGCTGAAATGGGCTCGGGCTGCTTGCGGTTGTGCGCGGCTAGGGCCTGCCAGGGGCCAGGGGCCTCGGGGTTTCGCGATTCACCCCGAACCTTCGCGACCTCCCCAGCAGTGCTGCACGAGGGAAGCCGCTGACTCCGGAAATCCAGGTTGAGGTCCGAGCTGTTTTTTCGCTTTTTCTCGGGTTCAGCACCAGCCCCTCTGGAAAGAGGAGGAGAGGAGCGGAAGACTGTCCGAGAGAAAATGGCGGCAATTGGCAGGCGGCCACTGTAGGTGTGAGTGAGGGAGGCGAGGGGGGAAAAAAGGAGAAACGTCGGCGGCTTGGGAGCATGGGCGCCATTCACATCCCAAGCCTCTGGCCGTTGTTTACGAAAGTGGCGGCTCACCACCTGCGCCAGAGCTCAGAATCCTCAAGCCTCCGGCTGTACCTTCCAAAAATGGCAGGTCACCACCTGTAGAACCGCCGCCGTCTCTGCCACCCGGCGGCACGGAATGGGTTCGGCGCGTCGGAGTCGTCCGAGGTCTCGTCGTCGTTCTCCTCCGCGTCCTCGTCCGAGGTTGCGTCCTCCTCCTCGTCGTCCTTATCCTCGTCGTCGTCGTTGGGGCTGTCGGCGAGGCCGTCGCGGAGGGCCTCATGGGGCTCGTCGTGGCGACAGTCGTGGTTACCGCGGCAGCCCTCGCGCCCGCCTTGGCGGTCGCCGACGCGCGGGTCGTCGCGGCGGTCGTCTCGGGGCGGTCCGTCGCGAAGGCCGTCGTCGCGGGGGTCGTCGCCCCGAGGCCGTCGTGGGGGCGTTTTGCGGTGCCGCCGCGGGCGATTGGCTCCGGGGGCTGTGGCGGCATCTGGGCTGGTGGTCGCGGCGTCGGCTGTCCCGTCGTTAGGGGGCCACATGTGAACCCTGCCCCTACCCCCCCCGATTTCTGAGGGGGAGGGTGGGGTTCACTTCGTTCGGGAGCTCCCGAGCAAAGTGAACCCCACCCTCCCCCTCAGAAATCGTGGGGGGTAGGGATAGGGTTCGCATGTGGCACCCTAGTCGTCCGCCCAGCCGTCCGCGAGGGCAGCTCGGTCCGCGAAGCTGGAGCGGCCCCAGCAAGGGGTCCGTCGCGCAGCGGCCGTCGTGGAGGGCCGCTGTGGCGGCGCGTTGTGGGAATTCTCTGGCTGGGCATGGGGTCGCGGGGCCGTTGGGGGGAGCGCGGGGGGGGGGGGGGGGGCGGAAAGTGTCTGCGGCTGTCCCTATGACCGCTTCCCCGGGCATGTATGCCCCCATCTGTTATCCTTTCAGGGCCGCGGTCTGCAGACTGGCCAGCCGCCCCTATGGCCGCTTCCCCAGGTATGCACCCCGCGGGCCCCCTCTCAGGGCCTGCGACCACTCGGGGCGCGGCCGTCGTGGGAGCCGTCGGGTGGGGGGGGGCGTCGTGGGGGTCGTCTTGGGGGGCGGGGCAAGCGTCCTCGGGGACCGTCGTGGGAGGCCGTCGTGGTGGTGGGTCGTAGGAGCCGTCGGGTCGGGAGAAGGGTCATGGTGTGGAGGGTCGCAGGAATCGCCGGGTTGAGCACAGGGTCGTCGCGGAGAACGTCGGGCGCGAAGTCGAGGAGCGAGGGACCGTGGGGTCGGCGGTCTGGTCGTCCGTCCTGCGGACCGTCTGGCTGTCCGTGAGGGAAGCGCTGTCCGCGCAGCCGAGGTAGTCCCAGTGGGGAGTCGAGCGCGGGTGCGCGGTGGGCGCAGCGTCGGGTAAAGAAATGAGAGGGGCGTCCGCTTGGGCGTCTGGGAAAGCGTCGGGAAAGGCTAGGTGAGGGGCATCGGTTTGGCCGTCGGTCGGTCTGTCCTCGCGTCCGTCCTGGCGGTCGCTAAGGTCGGTGTCGCAGGGAAGCGGGGCTCCGTCGTGATCGCAGTCGCCGTCGTGGCAGGCGTCGTCTTCGTCGCCGACGCGGCGGGGCCGTTGCGGGGGCCGTCGCGCGGGCAGCCGCGAGGGGCTGTCGTTGGATCCGTCGCGGGGGCCGTCGGGGGGGCCGTCGTGGGGGTCGCGTCGGGGAGCCGTCGTGGGGCCGCCGCGTGGCCGTCGTGGGGGGCCGTTGTGGTGGTGGGTCGTGGGGAGCGTTTGGGCTGTTCGGGGGATCGTGGGGCAGTCGGGGGGTGAAAGGGTGAAGGGAGAGTGACAGAAGTAGCAGTAGAAGTACGAGTAAGCGTTGCAAGAAGACCGAGTAGGAACTGGGGGGGCAGCACGCACGACGATGTCGAAAATCAGTCGGTGTTGGAGGAGGGCTTCATATGTGTCTATAACATGTGTATGTGTACGTGTACGTGAATATGTGGGTAATGTGCATATATATATATATATGCACATACATAGATAAACATACAAATACATATATGATTCACGTGTTCTCCGTTACCTTCCCCCTGCTCATAATGCTGCTGCGTAGCCTCCTCCTCCTCTTCCTCCTCCTCCTCCTCCTCCTCCTCCTCCTCCTCCTCGTGTTCATCGTCGGCCTGTTCGTTATGGTTGGAAGCCGTACAAAGCCTCGACTCCGTCTCACTAACTCCTGCCCGCTCCCCCCGTGCAGGAGCAGGCGCCTGCGTCCCAAGCTCGTCCAAGACAACGAGCTCGGGCTGCCCCTTGAGCAAGGGCAGGGAGCCTGTTGGGAAACCCGCCTGTTGCTTCTCCTGCTGATGGTTCATTATCCTGCCTCCTCCTCCTCATTCTCCTCCTTCCCTTCCTGCTCCTCCTGCTTCTCCTTCTCATCGTCATCCGTCCTCCTTCTCTCAGTAGCTATGTTGGCCCAAGTCGGTAGCGGGAGGCAGAGGGCAAGGCGTCTTTCTGGTATTGGGGATCATCGGCACCAACCTTTCCCTGACGACACTCGTGCTGTCGTACTCCGTGTGCGGCACTCCTGCTCCACCCCGCCCACACTTCCCGCACAGCTACGGCCATGTCGCGGCGCCTCGTTCTGAGGCTGTGGGCTGTTCTCTCGTGTCTCGGCCTTCCTGGTGTCGCCCAGGCTATGGGGAGCGGCCAACCCCAGGGGGGGCCCAGGGAGTTAGGACGCCGACGGATCGACGACGGTCTCGGGCAACGGCCCTGCGCGTGCCAAGTGCGGGCGCAAGAAGAGCAACCGAAGCAACAAAAAAAACGAAAACACACAAAAAACCAATCAAAGTAACAAAAAAACAAAAAATGCAATGCAAAAAAAAAGAAAAAAAAAAAAAAAAAAAAACGGTTAGACATGCTGGCAGAAGCTCGCGGATCTTGCACCGATACGCCCCGTCGATCCCGCCGGAGTGCGGCCAGGGGCTGGCACAAGGCGCCGTCAAAGGCAAGGGCAAGGGCGAGGGCGGCAAGGCCAGGTGCATCCCCAGGTCCAGCTGGGTCGGCGGCAGCAGGTCTCGACACCAAGGAAGGGCGAGTGCGCGGCGTGCCTGAGATGGCTGGGGAAACGACAGGAACGCAGCGCCACCGTCGAGCGCTGCGAGAGCGTCGCTGAAGCTGTCGCAGCGGGCCACGGCGGCTCACAAGGAGCTCCAGGAGTGCTCTGGCAAGCACCAGGAAGCCATCGGCTGGTTCACCTCCATGCGGCAGGCCCTGGATCGCCAGCACAAGCGCGTGAAGACCTGGCCGAGGGGCTGAAAAGGCAGCGGGCACGCACCATGATCTGGTTGAGCAGCTCACCGCGTCGGCAGCGGTGGACCTCGCGTCTCCTGAGCGGGCCCCTATCAGCGCCGCTGGCATCTTGGACAACTCAGGCGATGAGATCCCCATCTCGCTCGACGGCCTAGGGTTCGACAACGGCGAGTTCGAGCTTGACGACAATAACAGGAAGAAGGTCGCTGCACGGAAGGAACGACTGCACCAGGGCGCAAGAAGGCGATCCAGCTGGTGTCCAGAGAAAGCAGCCGCCAAGGCCAAGGCCTTCAAGGAGCAGGCCGATGCCCCTGCGCAGCGGCTCGCGAGCAAGCGCCGCAGAGGAGCGGACGGAGCCGCAGCCCCAGGAGGTGCCCGCGGCGAGGCATCGGAAGAGGTGGCCTTAGCAGGCCACAGCAGCCCCTGGCAGGGAACAGAAAGTTCTCCTCCGACGGGAGGAGGACGAGGAGGGGGGGAGGAGGAGGAGGAGGAGGAGGAGGAGGAGGAGGAGGAGGAGGAGGAGGAGGAGGAGGAGGAGGAGGAGGAGGAGGAGGAGGGGGAGGAGGAGGAGGAGGAGGAGGAGGAGGAGGAGGAGGGAGGAGGAGGAGAGGAGGAGAGCCTGTCTTCTCCCTCTCCCTTCCCCCCCAGTTCATCCCTTTATCGGCGTTGAACGGTTCTCCCCACCGTGCCTCCTCCTCCTCCTGCTACTCCCGCCTCCTCCTACTGTCCTCCTCCTACTCCTCCTCCTCCTCCTCGTCCTCCCCCTCCTCCTGCTCCTCGTCATCCTCCCTCTCCTCCTCCTTCCTCCTCCTCCTCTCCTCTCCTCCTCTCCTCCTCCTCCTCCCTCCCCCCTCCTCCTCCTCCCCTCCTCCTCCTCCTTCCTATCGGCGTTGAACGGTTCTCCCCCCCGTGCCTCCTCCTCCCGCCTCCTCCTCCCACCTCCTCCCGCCTCCTCCCCTCCTCCTCCTCCCTCCTCCTCCTCCTCCTCCTCCTCCTTCTCCCCCCTCCTCCTCCTCCATCCTCCTCACATGTACAACGCCGCGCAAACACACAATCCCAGCACTTCACTGGCGATCGAGAACACGGATGCCCCGGACGCCTACCCCCACAGAGAACACGGGTGCCCACCCGGAAGATCTTGTCGAAATGACCCCTCTCGCACGACCAGCGCCGTCAGGGGGGCGGGCCTGTGAACGAACAGGAATTCATAGCCAAAGCCACCGCTTGGACTGGGCCATCATCAAGGCCCTGCGCTAAAATTTCGCATGGAGATACCCGCCCGACCGCGCATGAGCACAATCGCTTGGTCTGTCTGGCTCATGACAGTCGAGAATGACAAGGCCAGCAAGTAGGGCCGCACAAGCCAACACGTGAAACGCTGCTGACCGCCAACGATTCAGTCGGGTACTGTCTTCGCTCGACCCAGTTCGAAGAGAACAAGTCTAGTAGCACTGCCAATGTGCGTTTCAACAAGCGTATACGCCTGCTTCTTGTTCCACGGTCCAGAAAGCGAACGCTTATCATGGTGTCGTAGAGACCTTAGGTAAGATATATGTGAGTGCAGTCGTAAATACTCTGGGTACGTCCTGGATAGAGCTGCCGAAAGATTTGAATCGATCCCCGAAGCCGCTCATCGCATGCCCCGCCATGAGACCCCAGTGCCTGCTTCGACTCGCACCCAATAAAAGTGGAAGCGTGCCTGCGGGAAGCACGAACTGCACAGTGTCGCCCCACCCAGTGCGAAGGACGCCCTCCTGGGGATCACGGGCGCGTGGTCAGGAGATCCACTGAACATGCGCGCGCCAGGCTCCTGCCCCTGCTGCGACGCAGCTGGAAACATGCACAATCCCCTACAGTGACTGTGTGAGCAAGGATTCCAAACAGTGATGTATTGCGATCTACGCGGCGCATTCTGGGTGATACAATCAATATGGTTTAATCTAGGTGGTGCCATCCGCTTGGTGCAGAGCCACATAAAGCAACGCAAAACAACGCAATCCGATTGCAAAGTAATGCGAAACAATGCAGAGCAATGCGAAGCAATACAATGCAACGAAATGCAATCCAAAGAAATGCAATAAAATGCCATCAAAAACAAAGCTATGCATAGCAACACAAAGCAACGCAAAGCAATGCAAAGAAATGTAACGCAATGCAAAGCGACGCAAAGCAATCAAACAGCAACCAAAAGCAATGCAAAGCAATTCTAACTGCAATGCAAAGCGATGCAAAGCCATGCGAAGTAACGCAATGCAATACAACACAATGCAATGCAATGAAAAACAATGCGATTGCAACGCAAAGCAATGCAAAGAAATGTAGAGCAATGCAAAGCGACGCAAAGCAATGAAATGGCAATGAAAAGCAATGCAAAGCGATTGTAATTGCAATGCAAAGCGATGCAAAGCCATGCAAAGTGACGCAATGCAATACAACACGATGCAATGCAACGCAAAGCAATGCGATTGCAACGCAAAGTAATGCAAAGCGGCTCGAAGAAATGCGATTGCAGTGCAAACCAATGCAAACCAATGCAAAGCAAGCAATGCAAAGCGCACAGCACCGCAAAGCAACGCAACGCAACGCAACGCAATACGATCGCAAGGCAAGGCAGCGACGGGCGGCGACGGGCTGCAAAGCAGCGCAGAGCCGTGCGCAATATGCAAAGCAACGCAACGCAGTGCGACTGCAGTGCAGAGCGGGGACGGGCGTCGACGGGCGGCCATGAACCGCCCAGAGAGCGAGAGCAGGATTCGCGTGGACGGATGCCGAAGAATGTCGCCGGCGTCTCTGGCGGGAGACCAGGGAGGGATCCCTCAAATGAAGGCCCCGCAGAGGTTCCCGCCACGGACCCCAGGGAGGTACTGCGTGCTCTGTTGACCCACTGCACGCTTCCAACGGAGCACGACAGTGGAATATCTGAGCCCATGGGAGTGCCCGAAATCTATGCGTGCTACATCGCGGCGATCCAGCGCCGTGGAATGACTATGGGCGAATGTGAGCATGGATGAGTCTGAGCACGAGTGCGTCTGAACACGAATGAGTGTGAGATCAGCGAGTCTTATTGAGGGAAAAATTAGTATTACCGAGTCTGGGTGTGACTGAGTCTGCATATGAGCGAGTCAGACTTGGAATGACGCAATTGTGAGCGGTCTGCGTGTATGAGTTCGATTATAAGTGAGCTGAGCACAAGAAAATCAGAGTGCAAACGGTCTGAGTATGATTGGATATCAGTATGAAGGAGTATGACCATGAGTAAGTCTGAGCGCGTGAGGTCTGAGACTGAGTGAGTCTGAGAGCGCGCGGGGCCTGAGTCTGCGTAAGTCTGAGTTTGAGTGATTCATATTGGAGGTAAAGGAAGAGGTGATAGGTAAGGAGAAAGAGCGGGAGAAGGCGTATGATGCATCAAATGAATGACAAGAGCCCAACACTTGAGAGATAGGGAACAAGAAGGAAAACGGGACGCCCGCTCAAGCTGCCAAGCGAGCCAAACACGCTAAGAGATGCCACCATCGGATGCGCGTCCTCGTCACCAGGTAGGCGAGGAACGCCACCCTCACCATCCAGCTCAACAAGCCAGTTCTGAGGCTCTGTCATCGAAGCAGATGGGGCCTGCCTGCGCAGGGCGGAAACAAAGATTTATGCGGTGCCTGAGCCAAAACCTCACCGACCACTCCTGCGGCAGAAGAGCTTCCTGCAGCCTCACTCTGCAGCGACGGACGTGGGCTGTGCAGCATGGAGCGGGAAGCAGTCTGACAGCCAATCACCCTGAAAGACTAGAGGCCTGATAGATTCGGTCGGAGTAGATAGGGTCGGAGACTCGCGCCGCATCGCCGATACATCGACAACGCATCGGCGATGCATCGGCGATGCATCGTCCACGTCGGCGACGCATCGGCGACGTCGACGTGAAGCAAATCGGGTTTCACATCGAGCCGCATCAGCGATGCGGCGCCATCGTCTGACCCCATCTAATTACTCCGACCCCATCTGGGAGGCATGGACTGAACGACGCGACTTTTCCGAGGACGGCGACGGCTAACAAGCTCGAGGCCCGCTCACACCTGCGAGGGAAGTCTTCCGGCGGCGCGCACACTGAGCCGCAGCGAGGGCGGCGGCATTCTAGGGAGGCGGGGGGAAGTTCTGAGTTCTGAAACGGCAGGCGGTTTCTTAGAAACCACCCGGGCCGTCAAAAGCCCTGCTCAATTTTTTGCGTTCGCGTACAGCGGAAAGATCTGTGGCAACCTCCGGGAGCCTCCCATACTATCTTGGCGGCTCTTGCGAATCAACGCTAATCGACGCTGGTCGACGCTAATTGACCCTAAATCGACGCTGATCGACGCTAACCGAGACTACTAAAGCCGCCCTACCTCATCGACTCCAAGACGACGCTAGAGACGGAATTCAGCGGGACTACCAGGCTGCCATGATCTGCTACCGAAGGAAAGGGCGGGTCTCTGCCCCGCTGGGTCAGAGGACGCGTGAGAGGGGCGGACGTCGCACGTGTCGGACCACCAGCTTTTTTGTTGGTCTGCGGGTCGAGAGCAAGCCTCTTCCAGTGAAGAGCTAGGCGGGCCACGCAAAGCACTAATTGGGGAGACAGAACACAGGCGGGCGTGGCCTCGGGCGGCCGGAGGGCGGGCCGGGGTGCAGGCGGTGCCGAGGAGCTTGAGCAGGCCACAAGCACACCCGCCCCGCGCAGTGCCGCAAGGCTCTTCTGGGAAGGGCCCCCGCCCTCTGAGAAGCCCCCCGGTCGTCGTGGAGAACCGACCCCCCCCGCGCCGTCCCCTCGTGCGCCCCGCTGGAGCGTCCCCATGCGACTCCGTCCAGCGTCCTCCTCCTCCTCCTCCTCCTCCTCCTCCTCCTCCTCCTCCTCCTCCTCCTCCTCCCCCTCCTCCCCCTCCTCCCTCCTCCTCCTCCTCCTCCCTCCTCCTCCTCCTCCTCCTCCTCCTCCTCCTCCTCCTCCTCCTCCTCCTCCTCCTCCTACTCCTATCTCTATTCCTTATTAGAATATACTCCTACTCCCCCCTCAGGCCGGCCATTAGGGGCCGCATCCGGGTGGTCCCATCCTAACCTGTAAAAAACAATACAAAATCAATATTTTTCTTATTGTTTCCTCTCGACATGGACGTCTTGTCGTCCACAGCGATAATCCATTGCAAAAAATACCACAAAGAGCACACGCGCGCGTTCATGTCAGAATCCTACCGAACACCTTGTGTTTGCAAGCATTTCAACATAAAAACATCAAAAACCCAATGTCTTTTTCACAAAAATTGTACAAATTTCCCGCCCGGGCTCTCTTGCTGAGATCATAGGAAAACCGTAGGAATCTGAAGAATTCTGTCAAATCCAGCGATTTCGCGTCATCGCGCGGTGCACTCGCGATGCTCTGTCATGCACCCAGGCCGCGAATCCTGTGCAAAAAAAACCACAAAGAGCACACTCGCGCGTTCATGTCAGAATCCTACCGAACGCCGTGGTTTTGGGGTGTCCTGTCAGACCGTCGGGCTTCCTCCGGCCACCTCTGGCTTCCTGCGGTGTACCGGGCCATTCTCGACTCGTCTGGCAATGCGTGCGCGGCATTCAACACGCGCTCGCCAGTTCCCGTCGGCAACCGCCATCGCGGCCGCATCAGCTGTACCAAACCGGCTGGCCGGTGTGACTTCGGCCCCCAGTTGTGCCAGCTTTGCTTCTTATGTTGTGGGAGGGCGGGTGGGACTGGGCATGCCATGCTTGACTCGCTCGAGCTGGCTAGCTTGACTCCTACTCCTACTCCTCCTCCTCCTCCTCCTCCTCGTCCTTCGTCCTTCGGGAGGTTATGCTTTTCTGGCTCCAGCCAGGGGGTTCATGGCAAGGGTTTCCTGGCCAGGGCAGGCAAAACTGAGCGCAGACTGACCGAGCCCTCTGGGTGGTGGCACCGCTTCGCGGTGATCTGCGGTCGGCACCAGCATGTTCGTTTGCATCTGCCACCGTGCCCCATGGCACGCCGAGGCGAAGTAGAATGCTGAGTGTTGTCCGGCACAGCAGGGAAGCGACCACAAGAAACCCTCCACAGGAAACCCAACCCTGAGAACCCAAGACGTCCATCGCTTTTTGGTGTGGGAACGTCACGCCCCCCATCGCAAAACCATCGAAACCCAAGAAACCTGGGGCATCCTGGAGGCAAGCAGGGTGTTTCTTGGCATGGGTCCCCACTGTAGGGACGCCCCCCCTCATTTTCTGCAGTGTCTGTCATTTTCTGACGCCCCCCGTCATCACAGTCTTGCCGACGGGTCCTGGGCACACCGACGCCTCCCCGGCACTGATCAGGGCGTCCAGAATTCGCACGATGGTCCCCCGGACAGCCGAAGCAGGCCGCCAATACGACTGAGCGCTGATAGCAGACTGATCTCAGGCTTCTAGATACATTTCACTACTGCCCCTTACGATTCCCTTCCCATTGCTGTGCTGAACAGCTCTGTAGCGCATCTGCAGCACAAGTAAAACCAAGAAAAGCACTACCATTTCCAAGAAAGTAGCAGAGTACGAATCGGTGTTCAGCCCTAGCGCTAATAGCAGACTGAGCGCGGGTGTCTAGATACTTTCAGGTAGCGCACATGATGATTCTCTTCCCATTTCAATGCCTCAGAGCTCTCAAGCTCATCTGCACCTCGACTTGGGGCCAGGAAACGAATTCCATCACGAAAAAAATTGCAGAGTATGACTCGTTGTTTGGCGTCTGCGCTCATAACGGACCCAAGCCAAGCGTCTAGATACTCCAGACTAGCGCGCCTCACGATTCTCTTCTGATTTCTGTGCGGGAGAGCGCTCAAGCTCATCTGCAGCTCGAGTTAAGTAAAGAAATGCACCATCCTTTCGAAGGAAAAAACAACAACAACAACAACAACAAAAAAAAAAAAAACAACAACAAAAAAAAAAAAAAAAAAAACACGGCCGACTACAACTAGTTTTGCGGACATAACTCGAGTAGAAGACTGAGTTCAGAGCTCTAGATGCAACAGACGAACGCGCCTGATGATGCTGAATCGATTCGTGTACGTACCAGCGCTGTAGCTCTCCTACAGTTCGACTTAAGTACAGAACACCGACAACGTCTGTTAAGAGAACTCGAAGAATACGAATAGTTTCGCGGACCTAGCTCGAGTAGCAGACCGAGTTCGGACCTCTCGATGCAACAGACGAAGGCGCCTGATCATTCTGAATCGATTCGTTTGCGCACCAGCTCTGTAGCTCCCCTACAGCCCGAGTTAAGTACAGAAAACCGACAGCACCTGTCAACATGACTCGAAAAATACGAATAGCTTCGCGGACCTAGCTCGAGTCGCAGACCGAGTTGAGACCTCTGGATGCAACATACGAACACGCCTGATGATTGTGAATCGGTTTCTGTAAGCACCAGCTCTGTAGCTTTCCTAAATCTCGAGCTAAGTACAGAAAACCGTCACCACGTGTCAAGATCACTCGAAACGGCTGATCCCTCCGCGACGCTTTTTGGCAGTAATAAGTACCCGATCGAGCTGAATAAGAGCGAGCGGGAATAAGAGCGGGAATAAGAGCGAATATGGTCAGAAGAAATACTAGAGCTCTAACGACTTGTTGAATTTCAAGAACATAATTTTCAACCGAGCAATTGTCAAAAAAAAGTCAGTCGAGACTGGGCGCCGGCGGTAAACCGTCAACCTTTCTTACCGCCGGGGGACTCGCATGGCTTCCTTGCCATATATTATGTCGAAAGAATTGGCAGAGAACGAACAGTTTTTTAGCCAGAGCGCTGATAGCAGACTGATCTCAGACTCGTAGGTACATCTCACTATTGCCCCGTACGATTCCCTTCCCATTGCTGTGCTTATTTCAAAGAAAGTAGCAGAGTAAGAATCGGTGTTCAGCCCTAACGCTAATAGCAGACTGAGCGCGGCTGTCTAGATACGTTCAAATAGCGCGCATGATGAGTCGCTTCCCATTTCAATGCCTCGGAGCATCGCATCTCGAGTTCAGCCCAGAAAAACGAATTCCGTCACAAGAAAAGTAGCAGAGTATGACTAGTTCTTCGGCGTCTGCGCTCATAACACCCAAGCCAAGCGTCTAGATACTCCAGACTAGCGCGCCCATGATTTTCTTCTAGTTTCTGTGCGGGAGAGCGCTCAAGCTCATCTGCAGCTCGAGTTAAGTAAAGAAATTCACCATCATTTCGACAAATTCGGTCGACTACAAATAGATTTCCTGACCTAACTCGAGTAGAAGACTGAGTTCAGAGCTCTAGATGCAACAGACACGCGCCTGATGATTCTGAATCGATGTTTGTGCGTACCAGCCCTGTAGCGGTTCTACAGCTCGATTTAAATACAGAAAACCGACAACGTCTGTTGAGAGAACTCGAAGAATACGAATAGTTTCGCGGACCTAGCTCGGTTAGTAGACCGAGTTCAGACTCGATGCAACAGACGAACGCGCCTGATCATTCGGAATCGATTCGTGTGTACCAGCTCTATAGCTATCCTACAGGCCGAGTTAACTACAGGAAACCGACAGCACCTGTGAAGATGACTCCAAGAATACCAATACTTTCGCGGCCCTAGCTCGAGTAGCAGAACGAGTTGAAACCTTTGGATGCGACAAACAAAGACGCCTGATGATTGTGAATCGGTTTCTGTAAGTGACAGCTCTGTAGCCATCCTAAATCTCGAGTTAAGTACAGAAAACCGTCAACGCGTGTCAAGATGA